CTATACCCATGTGGGAGATCCGGAAGAAATTCCTGGCTGCTGGATTCGAATTGGCTCAGCTTCAGCCGTTGCGGCCACTTGGGGAGTGAGTCACCGGAAGGAAGATCTTCCTCTCTGTCTCTCCTCCTCTTTGTATATCTAACTTTCCAATAAAAAGAAAAAAAAAAAACCCAAAAATTATCTCATTGCTTCTTAAAAGTATTTCTATTTCATTCTTCCCCTTCTAATATCACCATTATGAGCCATTTTCTAATTTTATATCTCTTGGATTTTTTCCCAATTGTGTTCTTGCTTTGCAGCCTTGGCAGTTTCTATCAATAGAACCCAAAGCTCTTATGTTCTTTCCCATGGTTTGTCCAGTCCGATAAGTCAACAGCATCAAAGTTACCTTTCACTTTTTATTTTTATCCATAGCATTTCTTCTTGTTTTTCCCTAGAGCCACACTTTTTCTTATGTTGTTTATTTATTTTTACATGTTATCTATTTTATCAACTATTGCTCTCAGCAAAATAATCAAGTCTCATGAGAATTATGGCATTCCTGCCATGTCTAGTTCTGATGTTTGCACTGTCCTTTAGTATTTCTTAATATTTTTTTTGTTTTTTCTTGATGCCAGACATTGCTGGGGAAAATAAATTTTTTTAAAACATTTATTTATTTTACTGGAAAGTCAATTTACAGACAATAAGGAGAGACAGAGAAATATCTTCTCCACTGGTTCACTCCCCAAGTAACCACAATGGCTAAAGCTGTGACAATCTGAAGCCAGGAGCCTAGAGCTTCTTCCAGGTCTCCCTCACGAGTGCAGGATCCCAAGGCTTTGGGCTGCCCTCAACTGCTTTCCCAGGCAACAAACAGGGAGCTGGATGGGAAGTGAAGCAGTGGGGATTAGAACCGGTGCCCATATGGGATCCTGCTGCATGCAAGGCGAGAACTTTAGCCACTAGGCTACCATGCCAGGCCCTAAATTTTATTTAATATTGTTTACATAGTTGACAGAGATGCATTCCCATGTGGGCTTCTGATTAGCATGGAGAGGGTCAAGGCATGAGGGAAGGTGTGTGGGACAACTTTTCCTCCTGTGTCTGCAAAGCGGGGAAGAGGGGCACCATTTCTTGCCGTCAGACTAAATCAGCACCCAGTGATGAGGGACAGTCATTTGATGACGCCTTAGAGACCCTGATGTGGGGAAATGCTGTGAAGGTGCTACTTCAGTGTTTTTGATAGTTCTGAGATATCGGTTTCACTACACCAGAGTTGGGAAAATCCTCTCCAGGTCTGTTGGCTGACCAAGTCCACTTCTGTGGGCATCCACAGAACCAGACATCTGCTACAAAGCCTTGCCAGGAGTGTTCCGCTTTTCATCCTCTGATGAGGCATGCAACATCCTCTGCTGGCCTAGAGGAGCTGACTGTCACATCTCCTGTGTGCGTCTGGGCATGCTGTACTACACAGACATCAGCAACAGAGGAGGTCCAGTCCCGACACATATACTCCAAGCGCGGACCACATATCTTGACATTTTCCCTGTGGCTGGGATTAGAATCCAGCAATCTAATTGGGAAATCCCCCATGACTTCAGACTTGAATCTCTGGGCTAGCTAGTCCATGGTCAGGTTTGGTCTGTTACCTGTACAAGCCAACGCACATATTGACGGATGCAGCTGCCTGGTCAGTTCTGCACCAGCCCCATCTCTGAAGTGAACAGATGCTGTGGCTTAGCCCAGCCCAGTCTTCACACATACCAGCAGATGCCACAGCCCAACTTGTGTATCATCTTGCTTTTGTGGGTAATGGCACATGATGCTACTAAGCTCAGCCCAGGTACCCCATGTGGGCGGGTACCTTGACCTGACCCAGACATGCCCTCTGGATTCATCACTCTAAACCATTCCATCTCAACTCGTTCACCTACCTGTGAGTGCAGTGGCCTGGCCCATGCAAGCCTTCAGAAGTTACTCCTCACCTGTCAAACATGCCATCAGCCTTTCCCACGACAATGTGTCCCCAGACCCTTTTCCCTGGCCAATCTGAAGTCCCTGAAAATTGGGAGCCAGTGTGGCATGTCTCAGCCCCGTGTTCCCTGCCTTTCCCACCTATATTTAAAAAAAAAAAGGCAACTATGCTGGCACGCTGGTACACTGGTACAGTTGACATAAACTTGGCATTAACCAAGCCCAGAATGCCCACCAGCTATTGGCTCCATTTTTCCCAACCATGTAACACTTGCCTAGACACAAGGCAATCTGGGTAGCTGCCTACAAATGGGGCCTAAGAGTTATATTTTCAGTGTGACCACCATTTTGGTTGTTGTTGATGTTTTGTTGTTGTTGTTGCCAAGATGAAGCAGTGATTTCAAGATCCGCACATGTAGAACTGGAAACAAAAATCTTATTTTAAGTTTTGTTTTTTATTTATTTTGAGAACAGATACAGAGTACTCCAATCCATTGATCCACTCTCCCAAAGGCCTGGAAAGGTCTGTGATTTGAGTCAAAGCTGGAAGCCAAGAACTCAATCCAAGACTCACACATGCATGCCAGGAACCCAATTATTCTGGTACCATGCTGCTTCCAGAGTTTTTAGGTAGCAGGAAGTTGGAGTGAGAAACAGCTGGGTGTTCAATTCAGGCACTCTGGTTATGGGACTTGGGCCAAATGTCTCTCGCTGCTCCCTTTCATGTTTTGGAAGATATTTTAGCTGGGTATAGAATCCTAGATTGAAGATCTATTTCAGTAAAAAAAAATGCTTCCATGTTTTCTACTTTTTGCTTGGCAAAGAAATCATCTTTTTTGTTGTTGTTAAAGGCTTATTTATTTTCATTGCAAAGGCAGATTTACAGAAAGGAGACAGAAAGATCTTCCAACTGCCAATTTACACCACAACTGGCTACAACAGCCAGAGGTGAGCCGATCTGAGACCAGGTGCTTCTTCCGGGTCTCCCATACAGGTGCAGGGTCCCAAGGCTTTTGGCCACCATCTACTGCTTTCCTAGGCCGTAAGCAGAAAGTGCGATCAGAAATAGAGCAGCTGGGACATGAACCAATGCCCATATGGGATCCTGTTGTTTTATGAGGGGAGGATTAGCCACTGGAGCCATTGTGCTGGGCCCTGAGCCTGTTATTTGTTTCTCTGTACATCTTTTTTCTAGCTGTCTTCCAATTTTTTTATCACTCCCTTCAAGTATTTCTTAACACACTTTTTCTTCATGTCTTTTGAAGTTTTTAATTGAGCTTCAGTGATTCATGTTTCATAGTTTCCACAATCATTTAGACACCTCCATCTTTCTTCTCACTTGGTATCTCAAATTGCAAGATTGGGGCACTTAAAGTTCTACTAAGTTCTGGGCCCAGTGCAATCGCTCAATTCGCTAATCATCCTTCTTCAAGCGCCAGGATCCCATATAGGCACCGGTTTGGTTGATAATCACATTAAATCTATATCCAGTAATGAGACACAAGCGTTTTCTGGAGGGAAACTGAGGTGCTACTGTTAGAAAACACAAATGCATGACAGATAAAATCAAGAGGCACTCATTAGTGTAAGTGCAGCTGTTCTGATTTTTCCTATGCTCAAAGTATGATAATCAGCAGCTAGTGCAGCTAGAAATGACTCACTGGGGCACATTCAGGTGTAGTTAAGTGGCTATTTGTGAGACTCTTTCTCAATTTCTTTCCAATTGTTGGTTTTTCCCTATTTATTTACTTTAGAAAACTGGATTTAAAAAAAAGCTGTGACTAATCACTTCAAACAAACTGCCTGACTTGGCCCGATATGGTAGCCTAGCAGCTAAAGTCCTTGCCTTGCGAGCGTCAGGATCCCATATGGGCACTGGTTCTAATCCCGGCAGCTCCACTTCCCATCCAGCTTGCTGCTTGTGGCCTGGGAAAGCAGTCGAGGACAGCCCAAAGCCTTGGGACCCCGTACCTTGTGGGAGACCCGGAGGAAGTTCCTGGCCCCTGGATAGGCTCAGCTGTGGCCATTACAGCCACTTAGGGAGTGAACCAGTGGATGGATGAGCTTTCTCTCTGTATATCTGCCTTTCCAATAAAAATAAATAAACCTTAAAACAAAAAAACCTGCCTGACCCAAGTCCTCTTACGTGCAGACGTTAACTTCTTGACCTAGAACACCCACATCTCCTCACTCTGAACTTGCCTCAATTTTCAAGAGCAGTTCAGACGCCCATCACACCCTCTAATAGAAGTCACCCTGGGTTGTTTCCAAATCTCTAATTTTTCCTGACTGCTGGTAAGTTGTTACTTCAGACTTACTGACAGGCAGGTCCATGTAGTGCTTGGAACACAGTGCAACACACCCAGGCCTCTGCTCTGATGTGTTCTTTTCTGAGCTATGTGAGCTTGGCCTCCTTTGGTTTTCTTCCTTCTAGCTCACAGGCATCAAAGACCATTGCAGCCTAAAACGTGTGACCAGTGTTGTGTTTTTGTTTTTGAGAATTCTCCTTCCCTGGCAGTGATTTTCCTTCAGTTTTCAAACTGACTCCTCATCCTATCAACTGTGGGTCCCCTGGGGTAAGGATAAGAAAAGTGGGTCATGGGTCCCGAGCCACAAGTTCTGCTGTCAGGTTTGGATCCTTGAGCATAATCATTTTTGTCTTCAAGTCTCCACAAAACGAGTGGGAATGTTGACTCTGGTAATAACGGAAACTACCCCTTCTTGCACACATCTTCCTTCAGTGGTGACTGCAGATGCTCGTGACATCCGAAACACCTCATTCCCTGCCTGGTGTGTCACATAACATGCCACATGAAACACACACACACCTCATCCTTGGCTGGGAAAATCGGACCATGGCACTAAACGTATCAAAACGAGATCTTCCTGTTAAAAAATGTATGATAAGACGGCTCGTCGGCCCGTCCGACCACACCGACCCGCCCGACCCAGGCCGCGGAGAGGGCCCGGGACAGAAGCACCCGAGCCGCCGGCCAGCCCGGGCAGGGCCGAGGGCTCCGGGGGCGTCTCCCTGCCGTACTCACTGCTTCCTTCTCGAACATGCTGGGCCGCCTCTCCCTCCGGGCCGGCCCGGGCGACGCCTGAGGGGCCGGGCCCGGCGCCGCCTTCCCGCCGCGCTCCCGCCTCTCCATGCCGACACACCCGCCGCCGCCGCCGGCCAACGCCGCCTCTCGCGAGAGCTGGGGCCGCGTCATCCGCCTGCGCCGGGCCCAAGCATGGAGGTAGCAGGCCGGGGGGGTGACCGGGGGGCCGGGGGAACGGGGGACCGGGGGGCCGAGGGAACGGGGGACCGGGGGGCCGGGGGGCCGAAAGCCGGGGGACCGGGGAACGGGGGACCGGGGGGCCGGGGGCCGGGGGAACGGGGGACCGGGGAACGGGGGACCGGGGGGCCGAGGGGCCGGGGGGCCGGGGGAACGGGGGACCGGGGGACCGGGGGGCCGAAAGCCGGGGGGCCGGGGGGGCCAGAGATCTCCAGGAGCGGGAACCCGAGACTGCACAGGAAAACCAGAGTTGCCTCTTGTCTTGCTGCTGTCCCGCCCTTTCTGAAAGGCGCACGTTGGACTGTGAACTCCCGAAGTGTGGCCCCTGAGTCTGGCTGTCGCCTCCCTGCGCTAGGCAAAGCCAGACGCAAGAGGGCATCCCTGCGGTTTGCTGGGCACACCCACCTAGCATTTTCAGTTCACACAAGCCTCAGTTCTCAGATCACACCCACCTCCGTTCCTGGTTCACAACTACCTTGTTCTATGTCACGCCCACCTTGGTTCCTGGGTCACACCTTGGTTCTCTGGTCACACCCACCTCGGTTCCTGGGTCATACCCACCTTGGTCCTTGGTTGCAATAGACCCCTGTAACCAGAGCCAGGTGCCAATGCTGCGCACATTGCATTTGAGTCCTCAAGAAAAGTCCCCCAGACCTCCAGTGGTGGACTTTTAGCCCAAGGGTTGAGCATCTGGTGAGGAAGCCCAGGCCCCACAGCAGAGTGTGTGGTTAAATCACTGGCTCCAGCTCCTGTCCCAGCCACTGGGGCCCAGCGTGCCGGCCATGTGGGAGGCATGGATTTCCTAATTGCCGGCATCTAGGAGTGAGTCAGTGGACGGGGCTGCTGTCCTGCTCAGCCTCTCAGAAGTTCATCTGTAGAGAAACGGCAGAACGAAGAGCAGTTTTAGGCTTGTCTGGGTTGGAAACTGGAGCAGTTGAAAACGGGGAGGAAGCTGTGGCTTAAGGTTCATCTGCGGATTCCCGGGCCCCGTCTCTGGGCTCAGGAGGATCTCAGCTTGTCTCCAGCCACGGAGAGCTTGGCTGTTCCATGGAGGAAGAGGAGGACAGAGACTTTCCTCTCTTGGCTGCTGTTTTCTATATCGAAGCAACATAACTCAAGGTGATATTCTAGTTTCCTTCAATATATCGAGTCAGGCTTTTATGTTTTTCATTGTCGCAGATTTTCTGCTCTTCCATCCCCCTAAGAAATTGCCCATTTCGATAATTCTGAGCTAGTAAAGGAAGACTAATGGCGATGCCACACTGCTTAGAAGACTGAGCTTCTGAAACTCATACCTTAAACTCATCAGTAAAATGATATTTAGTCTTTAAATATCCTTTAGTGAAAACATGTGCTTACATTATCTTAAACATCTAATCACTGGTTTAATCATATAGTCTTCCTAATGTCCAGGAAGCGTGTTAACAGCATTTATATGCAAGTAATTCTGTGTTTTAGGTAGACTTCTTGTAACTTAAGTAGTGTTCCCTTTTCCTGTTAAGCTGTGCTGTTTGTGTTTTGTATTTCAGATGCTAACAGGAGAGCCCATTGCCACATGTCTTTCTCCCTCGGTGCATGACATGATTTGTAAGCTTGGTTTTGAAGTTCAAGAACATTGTGCTGTCAGTAGTGTTGTGTCTGACAAGGGAGAGGTACACTGGGAAGCAGTCACCAAATGTGTAAAGTGCGTGGAGACAGGTTGGTAACCCCAAGTCAGTGACTCGCTCTACTCAAAGTGTTGTGATTCAAGCCTGGTTTAAACGAGAAGAGATTTCAGTGTGAAAAACAACGGAGGAGACCAGGGAGTGTGGGATGTTGATGAGAGCTGGCTGAGCGAGATGGGCAGGCAGTGGCACAGACCCCAGATTCTCTGTGACTGAACATAGGTTGTAAAATCATTTTAAATAGTTGAGAGTTGCTGGTATACAGAGCAACAGTAGCATTGATATAATACTCACCAGTGAACACTGGCCTAGCAGTTCTGTTCCCGACACAAGGAGATGTGCTCATGGGTCTGAAGGTGTGTGTGTTACTCAGGGTTTTGTTATTATGACTCAATATCTGAAACAAGCTACTTCTGATCAGACGCCTGTTTGGCCTTGTGTTCTGCCCGGTGTAGATTGGGTAGGACCCATTGGTTGCTCATGTGATGGTGAGCTTACAGAGTTGTGAGGCGGCCAGAGCGTCTCAGAGCAAGGGGTGCCGCCTGAATCTGTCCTTTCAAGCCATCATGATCCGGTCAGGGCTGTCACCCCAACGACTTCATCAGATCTAGTCAAAGGTGTGGGGTTCTTCCCTCTTCAGCCTGCTGAAAGGACACTCCACACTCAGTAACAAGGCGCTCAGCGTTTATTTCTCCGGCTTACTTCTCCTCCTCCCAGGAAGGAAGAGCACAGGCATATATATACACAGCATAAACCAGTCTGCATAAAGGTCATTCCAACATGCACAGCGCACACCAATCCTCAAACAGGTCATGCGCTGTCCACGTGCACGGCACGCCTTTTACAGCCAATGGGAAGAGACTTACTTAAACCAGTATACAACTGGTGGTGCTTTGGGCAGGGCGCCAGGCGCCATCTTGGAGCTAAGCGGAAGTAAGCTGCCAACACAAAGGCCTTGTCACTAACTCGTCACTGTCCTTTCTGTTCATATCACTTTAGGGTTTAAATTTACGCCATCAGCTCAGGAGCCAAACCACATATAAACTTCCAGCAATGTGTTTGTGCAAGGTTATTCATTGTAACATTCTTTGTAACAGCTGAATAAAGTGATAGGTTAATATCTGGAAGCAGCTTGTGCTGTGCTGTGAGCTGTGGTAGGCGATCGGCTCAGTAATCAACAGTGAATACAGAAGTGGTGAGGGAGACTGAGGAGTCTGTAAGCCAAAGAAAAAACCCATTTATTTGTATTTGCTTGTATAGGTATAAATATTTGTAAGTGCTCACAGGAAACTAGTAAAAGTAGCTGCTATATGGAGAATTGAGGCACCACGTGGGTACACTCACCTTGGGTATTTCTATGCGAAATAAAGTCAAGTGGCAACACTTGCAGTGGCTCTCCCACAGGCATGGGGGTTAGCTCCAGCACTCCGGTAGATGCTGGAACGTGGCTGCACCAGAACCACACACACTGCTGGTTCCTGTGGGGCTGGCAGCATTGCCACGTGGGGCCAGTTTTCCTGACCTTGCCTGTTGAGGGCACTTTGCATCAGTGCTGAGCTGGGGGGCAGATCTGCTGTGCGTGGGCTTGACAAGGGGTGATTGTGTGTGCTGGCCAAATGAAGAAGGCAGGTACAATCTCATGTGAGGTGAAATGTGGCAGTTACTTTTCTCTGGCATATGTTAGTGTTTTGGGGTTCTGGCTGACCACCAGCGGCTGGAGCTGGATGAAGAGGCACTGTTGCATGCACATGAGCCTGGTTGTATAAACTTAATTATGTGAAAAGACATGGAAGAAAAAACTTCTCTCTTGTTTGAACTTTTCTGTATTCTTCAAACTCTATTGATAGTATATTTTATTTTATAACTGAGTAAATATTATGTAATTCATTTCAATACTATACATTTCTCATATGTTCAGTTACAAGCTGCTGGAGATTTTATAGTCAAAGCACCTTTTCTATGATATTTTAGATGTTTTTCATTGCATGATGTGGAACCATGATAGTAAAACTTGCTTTGTCATTCTTTAGGCTGTGACCTGGACTACCGGGACAGTGTGCGGCTGCTGGGCCCTGTGTGTGATGCCGTGCAGCTGCATTTCTTCTCTCTGACCAAGGGGCAGTTTGAGACGCGATACGCACCATGGTTCCAGTGGACAGGCGTTCCCCAGGTTTGGCTTTTGAGTAACTTTTACACATGAAAGACTACAAATACCACTTAGCGCCTCTTTGTAATTTTTATTTGCCAGCTTTTTAATTTTAATTTATTTTTATTTGCAAGGTGGAGTTACAGAGAATAGCAGAAACAGAGGTCTACATCCGCTGGTTCACTCATGCCTAGAGCTGGGTTAATTGGAAGCCAGCAGCCAGGAGCATCTTCTGGGTCTCCCATGTGGGTGCAGGGCCCAAGGACTTGAGCCATCCATCCTCTATCGTTTTCCTAGATCATGAGCATGGAGCTAGAGCAAAAGTGGCACCACTGGGACTTGAACTGGCGCCTGTGTGGAATGCCAGCGCCACAGGTGGAAGTCACAGTGCTCGTCCACATTTATTTGCCAGTTCTGAGGTGGTCTCGGGGGCAGCCAGCCCCCACAATGGGGTGGCAGATTTGATTCCCAGCTCTGCTCCCAGTTCCGTCTTGCTCTTTGTGTTCAGCTGGGGAGACAGCAGGTGTCGTTCTGAGTGGTTGGGTTCTCCTGCCACAGGCTGACCTGCTGGCTCCTGGTTCAGCCTGGCCCAGCTCCAGTGCTTACAGACATTTGGATGGAAGGCAGTCTGTTTCCCAAATAAATAAAGTGAACCTCCATTCCTAGGCTGTCCAGCCAGAAGAAGTCCTTTTTTTTTTTTTTTAATACTTACTTATTTTCATTGGAAAGACAGATATACAGAGAGGAGGAGAGACAGAGGAAGATGTTATGTCAGCTGATTCACTCCCCAAGTGGCCGCAGTGGTTGGAGTTGAGCCGATCCGAAGGCAGGAACCAGGAGCCTCTTCCGGGTCTCCCACAGGGGTGCAGGGTCCCAAGGGCTTGGACTGTTCTGGACTGCTCTTCCAGGCCACAGGCAGGGAGCTGGATGGGAAGTGAAACACAAGCCAGAACCCATGTGGGATACTGGCACATGCAAGCCAAGGACTTCAGCCACTAGGCTGCTGCACTAGGCCCCCAGAAAAAGTCTTGGTTTCAAGAAACCTGAGCTTTGATGCAAGATCTCCAAAACCTGAGCTGAGCCACAGGCCCTCAGGAGAAAGCAAGGTCAGGGTGCATCGTGAGACCTATGGGTTGGCGTACCCAGGTCAGGGCCACCCTTTCTGGGACAAGGCAGATTGCTGCCGAGTCAGAGAGATCGGGAGCTGTTCTTGAAACGGGGATCCTAACCAGAACCTTCTGTGTCGTCTAGAAGGTTCAGTGGCTGTAAGAGTAGTGACTGTGGTCTAAATCTGAGCTGCTTCGCATCGTCTTATTAGCGTGGAAGGAGCAGGCCTCCCCTTACAGCAGTGACTGTGTTAACATGGAAGAAGCAGGCCTCCCCTTACAGCAGTGACTGTGTTAACATGGAAGAAGCAGGCCTCCCCTTACAGCAGTGACTTCAAACTCAGCTGGGCTGCCCATTGCTGCCGTGTTATGGCAAAACACAGCTCAAACTTGGAGAGGTGAGGTCTAGGTCAAAGTGGTTGGCTTTTAAATTCATTATTCTGCCAGTTACTGATTGTAGTAAACATTGAAATACTTTCTCAGAACTCAGATATTCGAATGCTTTTCTTGACTCTTTATATAGAATATATATATATATATACACACATATATATATAATATTTGCCAAAAAAATGAAAATATAGCAGTTGCAAAGGGCATTTAAAATGTTTATACTTTAAAATTCAATATATAATATATAAGAAACATTTATTGTTGAATGTGAAATCTAACTTGTGGCTCATTCTGGACAGTTATTTCCTGAAATATTCGACTCATTGAAAAGCCTGCAGTCACCGGCCATTTCTCTCAGCTTGATGAAACTGACGTCATGTCTGGAACGGGCCTTGGGCGATGTAAGTCTTGTCATTATTGCTCCATGAAATTTGTCTGAATGAGCATTTAACTGTTTTACAGTTTCTTCAGTTTTCTTGATTATTGTTTTCTCATAAAATATAACTATTTGTTACCAGTTTTTAATATTTTAAAGTTAATTTTACTTTTCTCCTCTGTATGCTTTGTAGATTGTTTTTTCTTCACATTAAGCAACGTTAACTTGCAATCACTTGCCTGAGTAGCAAGAGCATTCGTGTGCCGTCATTACAGTTTCTGTTCTGATTGTAGGTATTTCTGCTGGTTGGCAAGGAGTGTCCCTTTCTTTTAAGAGATCTGCTCGCCTCCGTGGAACTTGCACAAGTCTTTGGTCAGCCTGTGGTGAGCCTTTCTGAACCTGGAGCGTGAGGGCCACAGAGGGCACATGGCCGCAGCCTCTCCTGTTCTTCCAGCGGAGACGCCGCTTCAGGAGAGCTGCCATGGTGCTCTAGGCCGTCCCGTCCCACCTTCCATCATTAAGATGTGGCTCTTGCAGCCAGCCAGGCTGCCCCCGACCCCCTCCCAGTGCTGGATATCTTGGGAGCCCAGAGACAGTGGAAGCACTTGGCTTTGCTCAATCACACATTCTAAATTATAGTACCGACTTAATTCAGAGGAAAGGGTTGACTCCTTAAAAAGTGGTAGCACACTTTGGTTCTAGAATTTTAATGTTTTGACATGTGAGAACTTGGGCCCTTGGCAATCATTTTAACTGAGAACCAAAGATTAGGTACTGATAAAAGGAAATCCTGCATTATTATTTTTTTTAGAATTTTTTAAGCTTATTTATTTATTGGAAAGTCAGATAAACAGAGAGGAGAAGAGAGAGAGGAAGATCTTCTGTCCGATGATTCACTCCCCAAGTGAGCGCAATGGCCGATGCTATGCCGATCCGAAGCTAGGATCCAGAAACTTCTTCCAGGTCTCCCACACAGATTCAGGGTCCCAAGGCTTTGGGCCGTCCTCGACTGCTTTCCCAGGCCACAAGCAGGGAGCTGGATGGGAAGTGGAGCTGCCGGGATTAGAACCAGCACCCGTATAGGATCCTGGGGCGTTCAAGGCGAGGACTTTAGCTGCTAGGCCACGCCGCCAGGCCCGAAATCCTGCATTATTATACCTTGTTCTACACTTTAGACTGACGTGTATCCTGAAGCAGGTTACCATGAAGTGGAACCCCAGGACAGCCAGGCTGAGAAAGCTGGGCTCGCCACAGCAGTCCAAAGCGCAGCCTTTGTCTGGCTGAGACCCACTGCGCAGAAGCCTGACTGTTGCCTCTGCCAAAGCAAGGGCTGTTCCAATGAGTGTGGATCAGTCTGCGCTCTGCTTCTGGGCAAAGTCTGGGTGCTAGCTCCCTTCCCTACTGGAACCCCTTTAGCCACTGCAGGCGGGAACTGTGCTACTGCCATGGCTATTCCAGTTTGCCCAGGTAATGTAAACAAAACACATGCAATTAGTGGGAGAGCAGAGACTCGTTGGAGATGGAATGAAGACCTGCTTATCATTATTGATGTGTTAAGCAGAAATCCTCTTTCTGACTCACTTGTCCACAGAGAAAGACTCGACAGGCCTGTCTGATTAACCGTGCCTGAGTTCTGGGAAAAAACAGAAGCTTGGTTCTGTCCTTGAGCCCCCGGTCGCTCAGGCATTCTTGCTCACGTGGTACATTTTGACTATTATCCATGGCTGTGGTACACCGTGGTGTTCAGAAACAGGGCTCTGGATATGTTCCAATAGTCACTGAAATAACCACAGTGAGTGAGTGCTCAGTGTGGTTAGAGATGGAGTGAGGGTGAGTGCTGAGTGTGGTTAGAGATGGAGTGAGGGTGAGTGCTGAGTGTGGTTAGAAATGGAGTGAGGGTGAGCGCTAAGTGTGGTTAGAGATGGAGTGAGGGTGAGTGCTGAGTGTGGTTAGAGATGGAGTGAGGGTGAGCGCTAAGTGTGGTTAGAGATGGAGTGAGTGTGAATGCTGAGTGTGGTTAGAAATGGAGTGAGGGTGAGTGCTAAGTGTGGTTAGAGATGGAGTGAGGGTGAGTGCTGAGTGTGGTTAGAAATGGAGTGAGGGGCCCGGCGCGGTGGCGCAAGTGGTTAAAGGTCCTCGCCTTGCACGCCCGGGATCCCATATGGGCACCGGTTCTAATCCCGGCAGCCCCGCTTCCCTTCCAGCTCCCTGCCTGTGGCCTGGGAAAGCAGTCGAGGATGGCCCAAAGCTTTGGGAACCTGCACCCGCGTGGGAGACCCGGAAGAGTCTCCTGGCTTTGGATCGGCATAGTATCGGCCCGTTGCGCTCACTTGGGGAGTGAATCATCGGACGGAAGATCTTCCTCTCTGTCTCTCCTCTCTGTATATCCGCCTTTCCAATGAAAAAATAATAAAAATAAATCTTTAAAAAAAAAAAAGAAAGAAATGGAGTGAGGGTGAGCGCTAAGTGTGGTTAGAGATGGAGTGAGTGTGAGTGCTGAGTGTGGTTAGAAATGGAGTGAGGGTGAGTGCTCAGTGTGGTTAGAGATGGAGTGAGGGTGAGTGCTGAGTGTGGTTAGAGATGGAGTGAGGGTGAGTGTTCAGTGTGGTTAGAGATGGAGTGAGGGTGAGTGCTGAGTGTGGTTAGAGATGGAGTGAGGGTGAGTGCTGAGTTAGAGATGGAGTGAGGGTGAGTGCTGAGTGTGGTTAGAGATGGAGTGAGGGTGAGTGTTCAGTGTGGTTAGAGATGGAGTGAGGGTGAGTGCTGAGTGTGGTTAGAGATGGAGTGAGGGTGAGTGCTGAGTTAGAGATGGAGTGAGGGTGAGTGCTGAGTGTGGTTAGAGATGGAGTGAGGGTGAGTGTTCAGTGTGGTTAGAGATGGAGTGAGGGTGAGTGCTGAGTGTGGTTAGAGATGGAGTGAGGGTGAGTGTTCAGTGTGGTTAGAGATGGAGTGAGGGTGAGTGCTGAGTTAGAGATGGAGTGAGGGTGAGTGCTGAGTGTGGTTAGAGATGGAGTGAGGGTGAGTGCTGAGTGTGGTTAGAGATGGAGTGAGGGTGAGTGCTGAGTGTGGTTAGAGATGGAGTGAGGGTGAGTGCTGAGTGTGGCTAGAGATGGAGTGAGGGTGAGCCGTGAGTGTGGTTAGAGATGGAGTGAGGGTGAGTGCTGAGTGTAGTTAGAGATGGAGTGAGGGTGAGCGCTGAGTGTGGTTAGAGATGGAGTGAGGGTGAGTGCTGAGTGTGGTTAGAGATGGAGTGAGGGTGAGTGCTGAGTTAGAGATGGAGTGAGGGTGAGTGCTGAGTGTGGTTAGAGATGGAGTGAGGGTGAGTGTTCAGTGTGGTTAGAGATGGAGTGAGGGTGAGTGCTGAGTGTGGTTAGAGATGGAGTGAGGGTGAGTGCTGAGTGTGGTTAGAGATGGAGTGAGGGTGAGTGCTGAGTTAGAGATGGAGTGAGGGTGAGTGCTGAGTGTGGTTAGAGATGGAGTGAGGGTGAGTGCTGAGTGTGGTTAGAGATGGAGTGAGGGTGAGTGCTGAGTGTGGTTAGAGATGGAGTGAGGGTGAGTGCTGAGTGTGGCTAGAGATGGAGTGAGGGTGAGCCGTGAGTGTGGTTAGAGATGGAGTGAGGGTGAGTGCTGAGTGTAGTTAGAGATGGAGTGAGGGTGAGCGCTGAGTGTGGTTAGAGATGGAGTGAGGGTGAGCCGTGAGTGTGGTTAGAGATGGAGTGAGGGTGAGTGCTGAGTGTTGTTAGAGATGGAGTGAGGGTGAGCGCTGAGTGTGGTTAGAGATGGAGTGAGGGTGAGTGCTCAGTGTGGTTAGAGATGGAGTGAGGGTGAGCCGTGAGTGTGGTTAGAGATGGAGTGAGGGTGAGTGCTGAGTGTGGTTAGAGATGGAGTGAGGGTGAGTGCTGAGTGTGGTTAGAGATGGAGTGAGGGTGAGTGCTCAGTTAGAGTGGAGTTTGCTCTGGAAGCAGTGTGCTGTGAGGGACCTTCAGGACTGTTCCCTTGCTTTCCTTCCGTTCCTGGGCCTTCCCACTCAGCTGCTCACTGCCTGGTTAGAGGCTGCTGATTCTCTGGTTCCTGTGCTGATACATCTGGGACCTTGGTTACGCAGCACTGGTTCTTGTTGTGACGCGCCTGGGACCTTTGCTAGGGTGTGCTCTGCCCTGTTGTGTACCCATGGGATTTGCTTCCTGAGGAGGGGTTCCGTGGTCACTGTGTTAAACACTCTGGGCGTGCTGAGTACTCTGTTGCACTCAAACCGTTTAGCTGCTGGTGGGACAAAAGCCGGAGGCGTGGTGTCCCTTCCGGCCAGCTCCGTAACCAGGGCTCTGTGCTCCCCTTGTCAGATGAGTGTGCTGAAAGTCTTCCTGGGCTCTCCACGGGGACTGAACCTGCGCAATGTCCTGTGGCACGGCTTTGCATCCCCCCAGGAGGTTCCTCCCAAGTAAGTAAGCTGCTGGAAAGCACCTTCAGTTCTGTGTTGATCTGCAGTGATGGAGGGCTTGAGAGGGGAGGAGGCGCTGCCAGGAGCTGTCCCTTCAGGGGCCACTCGGGATAAGGTAGTGTGCCCAGGTCCTGGGTGTGGACAGCAGGGAGGAGGTACCACCAGTCTGCAGTCCTTTCAGGGGCCACCTGGGGCAGGGTAGTGTGCCCAGGTCCCAGGTCCTGGGTGTGGGTGGCAGGGGGTGGGAGGGCACCACCAGGCTATGGGCTCTTCAGGTGTGACCCAGGATAAGGTAGTGTGCCCGTGTCCCAGGTGTGGGCAGGGGTGCTTGTATGGTCACTGTTTATTTGGTGGTGGCTCACCCGGGTTGCTGCACTCACATCGAGGGGGACTTTTCTGCAATTTAATGGTGCTTTAGTTTTAAAAATCTAACTTTTTTTTGAAAATGAAGGCATCCCTGTGTGTGAGTGGCCTCATGTTTCTCCCGGGTCTGCATGCTGCTTCCTCAGGTACTGTTCGATGCTGCTGCTGCTGACAGCAGGGCTGGGACAGCTGCTCAAGAGCTTCCTGCAGCAGAGCACCTTGAGGGTGACACACCGACCTCTGGTGGTTCTCAGGAACGTGGAGGACTTGCTTGTGTTCCCCGGCAAGTACCCCGTTCTGCAGTGCCCTCACTGCATTCCCCGTGACAGGGCTTGTAATCGGGCACAAGAAGGCAATGAGGAACGCTGCCACAGGAGCATGGTCCACGTGCCGGCTGTTTGGGCGCTCGGGCAAAGCATGCCATCTCCCCGAGGTGGCTCAGGGCCCATTTGCTCCTCCTCTGTATTACTGGACAGATTGGCACATCTTCTCCTTTCCTCTCAAATGTCGGTGCTTAGGATCTCTGCGCCCCAGGTGCCTGGGCTGGGAAGGGTCTCCCACTTCTCGCGGTCAGGGAAGCATTGCAGAGTGCAGGTGTGTGTGTCCCCTCTCCCCCTGCCCTGGGCCACCTCACTGTGGCTCTAGCTGGTCTTGGAGGGCTGCCCTGTGGAGAGGGCAGGACTCCACATGTCCATCTTTTTCAGTTGCTTAGTGTGATTTTGTTTAAAACCACTTGCTGTTTTGCAGATGTTACTGATGAAATACTTTCAGTATTAGAAGGAGTGATGGCGAGGTCCTCTTTTGTGTTGAAAGTCATGTTGCCATACTGGGAGACTGCCGTGGCCAGGTTCCAGGCAGGCAGGTAAGGAGGCAGCGTGGCTGGTGTCCCCAGCACCCTGTCTTCCACACTATGCTGCAGGGGTGGGGCCAGCTCTGTGGGAACGTGGAATGTATTCACGTGAAACTGAAGCGGCAGCTCGTCATCATGTTTGCACATGTGTATGCTGCAGTTGGTGCTATTTTTCATCGCCAAGTTTTATATATTTTTGAGTTGTTGCTATGTGTACAGTGTTAAAGAATCATGAAGGGAAGGGGAGTCAGCTTTTTTGTTCTTTCTTTCAGGCTTTTAAAATTGTTTGTTTGCATTTTTAATTTGAGGTAGAACTATGAAGAGTGGATGAGAGAAAGAGAAATTGAAGCAGAGAGAGCTTCCACCTGCTGGTTTACTCTAAAAGGACACAGGGTGCTGGACGGGGCTGAAGCTACAACCGGAAGCTGAGCCAGGTACCCTGCTGCAGTGTAGGGACACAGCCACTGGAGCCATCAGCTCCTGCATGCCAGCAGGAGACAGCTCAGGAACAGGGAGGGGCTCACCCCGGGTGTGCCAGGTGGCACCTCCACCGATGGGCACACACTCCCCGTAATTCTCTTTGCTGAGATCCAGCCCTGTGTGGGAGTGAGGCCTTTGCGCAGAGCAGACGGGTCTGAGACGGCCTCACTTTGGTGACTCTGTCCTCATTTTTATGCCTTAGAACCTACTGCGTGCTGGCATTTAGTGCTTGGTAGAGATAAAGCAATTAGTGAGGCTGGTCCTTGATGAAATTTTATTCATGCGAAGTTACAAAGTGCATCCAAAATTAACAGTGGGGGCTGGCACTGTGGTGTGGTAGGCCAAGCCTCTTCCTGTGGTGCTGGCATTCCATATGGATGCTAGTTTGTGTCCTGGCTGCTCCACTTCCCATCCAGCTCCCTCTGTACAGCCACATGGGAAACTCAGAAGAAGCTTCTGGCTGCTGGGTTCAGATCGGCTCAGCTCTGGCCTTTGCCACTGTTTGGAGAACAAACCAGCAGATGGAAGGTCTCTCTGTAAATCTGCCTTTCAAATAAAAATAAACAAATCTTTTTTAAAAATTAAGACACTGGAATGTGGCTTTAAAAATATTAATGTAATGGGCCTTTGATGTTGTGTCTTATTGGTAAGTGATGTTCCTTCCTGTTTAATACGGCCTTGGTCTCGTTAGGCCACAGCGTGGTTGCTGTGGTGCCAATGGTCAGTTTTAAAAGGGCGGTTTTGCTGCTTCTTGGATTCCACAGGTTTGCAGACTGTGCCATATTGTTACTGACACAGCTTGAGGCTGGACTTAGGAACATCTTTGCCAAGGTCAACCAATGTCCCAGAAGACTCCTGACGGCCGAGGTACACATAAGCTCTGGCATCTGTGAGATTGTGCTTCTGTTGACAGTTTTCTGTGGCTAATTGAACCTTTTTATTTTTTTTTTTTAAGATTTGTTTGTTTGAAAATCAGGGTTACAAAGAGAAACTGAGGGAGCGAGGCAGTGTGAGAGCATGGGAGTGCAGCCTTCCACCTGCTGGCTCGTTCCTCCCCAGGCTGCAGCAGTAGAGGCTCCACTGGGCCGAAGCCAGGAGCCAGGAGCTCTGTCCACATCTCCCACGGGGGTGCTGCCTTCCCAGGCCTTGGATAGGGAGCTGGAGCAGAAGTGCAACAGCTAGGGCACAACATGGTGCTGATATAGGAAACCAGAACTGGAGGTGGCAGCTTCACTGCTGTGCACAGTGCCAACCCCAACTAACTGAAACTTTAAAAGGAAGTTCATTTATCACTGAGGTGAATTTATTAGTGAAGAACTTTCTTTGGAAGACTTTACTGTCATTTGCTGTTGCTCCTATTCTAATGCTTTTCTCAGATTTCTGCTTATTGTGGCCATGGTTTTGTAGTTCGATTTCCAAATTGTGTTTGAAGCTTAGTGATGCCTGTGAGTAGTGAGCACTCACACTGGTGCACTCTGCACTCTGGTGGAGGATCCTGGGGCTGCGCCAGGGCCGTGCTCCTGGCTAAGATGCAGGCTTTCTCAGAGCCCAGCTGTGGAAGGAGGCGTCACCTCAGAAAGAACCAGAGCCCCAGAGCTCTCAGGGTCATGCTTGCAGTGAGTTGCTGCTCGTGACCATGTATGTCCAATCTGAGAGCTCTGCACTGTGGTGTGGATTAAACCGCCACCTGTGGTGCTGGGGTCCAGTGTGAGCACTGGCTTGAGTCCACTCCAGCTCCTGACTTGTGGCCTGGGAAGGCAATGGAAGATGGCTCAAGGCCCACATGGAAGACCCGGAAGAGGCTTTTGGCCCCTGGTTTCAGGTCGACTCAGCTATAGCCATTGTGACCATGAGGAATAAACCACAGATGGAAGAACTCGGTGTCTCTTCCTCTATAAATCTGCCTTTCAGATAAAAATAAAATTAAAAAAAAGTAAGTCAAATGATTTTTGTCAGTTGGTTACACAAATAATAGCATGGCTGCTTATATAGAGCATGTAATTTGTCAAGAAATGGCCTAAGTTTCTGGATAGAAGAACAGGACCAGTGTTAAGGCAATGTGTATGTGAAGCTGTTTTGTAGATGTGTCAAGGATTCCAAGTGCTGTCTGCAACGTGAGCCCTCTTGTGGATCTGCGAAAATATGTCCATGAGCAAGAGATTTGGCTTTTAATAGCTTGTCTGTTATGGAAGAGAAGATGTTACTACTCATTCTATGAAACTAGACAGAATTCACATATACGTAATTTATGGAAAAAATGTAGTATTTTGGGAAAAAGTAGTGGGGCTATTTAGAATCTAGTTAAACGTTTAGAACAGAGGACAGGCAACATGCCAGGGCAGCAGGGCAGGTTAGAGCTCAGGATAGATTTTAGGGCCACCTGCCAAAAAGTGAGTGTTGGAGATCCAGGATGTCCCAGGTGGGAGGCTGGGCTGCTGGGCTGCTGGACTACATGCACAGGCATGCTGAACATCGCCCCCTCCAGGCCGTTTGGTGGACCACAGCCATGCTGAACATTGCCCCCTTCAGGCCATGTGGTGGACCGCAGCCAATCACAGGCGTGCCGAACATCACCTCCTTCAGGCCGTGTGCTGGGCTGCAGCCAAGTGCATGCATGCTGAACATTGCCCCCTTCAGGCCATGTGGTGGACCGCAGCCATGCACAGGTGTGCTGAACATCACCTCCTTCAGGCCGTGTGCTGGGCTGCAGCCAAGTGCATGCATGCTGAACATTGCCCCCTTCAGGCCATGTGGTGGACCGCAGCCATGCACAGGTGTGCTGAACATCACCTCCTTCAGGCCGTGTGCTGGGCTGCAGCCAAGTGCATGCATGCTGAACATTGCCCCCTTCAGGCTGTGTGCTGGACTGCAGCCAATCACAGGCATGTTGAACATCGCCACCTTCAGGCCATGTGCAAGGTGTAAGTGAAGCATAAGAGAATTTCATGTGGACTTGGATCTCCTGCCCTGGATGGCTTACATATGTGGAAATAGTCTATAATCCCCAACAAGAGGTACTGGAGACATTTCTGGACACAAGCATTTTTTGATAAAGGAAGAATCAACCTGCATTACATTGGAAAGTTTCAAGAGAAAGCCAGTGGAGCTGCTTAAGGTGCCTGGGCTTCCCTTGCAGAGTTATGAGGCTGGGGTGGAACTAGGAGAGAACCACTTGCAGCCTGTGCCCACAGGCTGCTGATGGCGTCAGGGGCCATTAAACCTGGCTTTGTTGGAAAGTGCAGTAGAGTTGGGCTCACTTGTGTGCAAATACCAGTCATTGGGAGAAACACTCTGATGAGTGATGATTTGTAAAGGTCTGGATTGACAATTTCACTGTTAACTGAGCTACAGGATTATAAGGGCAGCACTGAACATGGCTTGATTCTTAGGAGCACTGTATTTGCATGCCTTTTGCAACATGTTGTTTTTATTTATGATGATTTCCCCAAATTGTTGGTGTTTAAATGTTCATTTGCATAAGAAAGTTTTAGACTTGGAGCATGTCACAAAAAATTTTCCATTTTGAATGTTACTGTACCTGTGTTTTGCTTTAATAATGTCTTTTCATTTCTTTGCTTTTTTGAAGTCAACAGCTTTCTATACCACCTTTGATGAAGTAAGTATACTTACAAAGTAGCTTGAAACCATCAAAACATTCTTATTTGTTTATTAATTTTAAGATTTATTCATTTTTATTTGAGAGGAAGATTTGCAGGGAAAGATAGAGATCTGATAATCCACTGGTTCACTCCCTAGATGCAATGGCCAGAGTTGAGCCAATCTGAAGCCAGGAGCCAGAAGCTTCTTCCAGGTCTCCCGTGTAGGTGCAGGGGTCCAGGGCCTTGAGCCATCCTCCACTGTTTTTCCTATCTGTAGGTAGGGAGCTGGATGGGAAGTGGAGCAGCTAGGACTCAAACTGATGCGCATTTGGGATGCCAGTGCTGCAGCTGGAGGATTAGCTTGCCATGCCGGTGCACCAGTCCCTCTTTCGTTTGTGTGAAAGATCTTCCAAATGGCTGCAGCAGCCAGGCCAGGATATTCTGAGGCTAGGAACCTGGACCTTCATCTGGGTCTCCCACATGGGTGGTGGGGCCCCAAAACTTGGGCCATCTTCTGCTGTTTTGCAAGGCACATCAAGGAGCTAGATGAGAGGTAGAGTAGCCAGGACTTGAACTACATTTATAAGGGGTGCCAGTGTTTTAGACTATGGCTCAACCCACTATATCGTAACGCTGGCCGCAGTTGTTATCTTTTCAAATTGAGGCACAAAATTAAGACTCAACAATAAATGATCTGTGTACAGAGAAATGTTCATAGTAGTATAAGCCAAGTTTTTACTTTGACTTTGGGACCCACTGTTACTAACACACTTTTTGAGATCCTGTGAAGCTCCAAGCTGGGAAATGCCGCTGCTCGTGTTATTGGCTGTAGTTATCCTGAGGCTTCCCATTTAGATTCAACATAGGAAAGGCCCTCGCCTGTTACCTCTGGGTATCTACTGCCACCTCCTGTTCCCTGCTGTCGGATGCAGGTGCATGCTGCTGTGGGTCCTGCAGTTGGAGATGCCTCCTGTCACCCTTGGAGGCCTCAGGCTCTGGGGTTCCTAGGAGGTGCTGCTTTGTGTGAGGGGTGATGGCCCTTCAGGCTGCAGGAAGGACTGAGAAAGGAGGCTGCTTGAGAGCTGGGGGCGTTCAGGACATCTGGTTCTAAAATAGCTGTGTGGTGCCTGCTTGCCTGCAGAATTGATTCTGTTGGCAGTCAGCTGGTTCTCTAAGCACAATACATTTGGGCTTGTAAGAATTGAGTGTTTAGGGTGGTAGATCTTGAGTTGGGGTGGTTGAGTTCCATTGACCGTGATGAGTTGAAAGTGACTGTTAAAGTGACTGTACTGTATACACATGTCCTCTCAAAAACTCTCAGTTCAAGAGGGTTACCTGCCACATGAACAAAATGAAATGGATTGTTCCCAAGACTTAGACACCAGGGTTCACAAAAACTGGCCTTAGCGACAAGTGTGTTTGCTTGTGTGCCTGTCAGGGTGTGTGTGTATCTGTGTGCATGTCAGAGTGTCGATGTGCAGGTTTCACACGCCTGTGTTTGGTGTGTGTGTATGTATCTGTGTGCGTGTCAGGGTGTGTCTGGATGTGCAGGTTTCACACGCCTGTGTTTGGTGTGTGTGTATGTATCTGTGTGCATGTCAGGGTGTGTCTGGATGTGCAGGTTTCACATGCCTGTGTTTGGTGTGTGTGTATGTATCTGTGCGTGTCAGGGTGTGTCTGGATGTGCAGGTTCCACACTTGTGTTTATTTTTGGTGTTTCAGATACTGGCAAAGCACTTGGATGACGGTAAAATCAATCAGCTTCCTCTTTTTCTTGGAGAGCCTGCCATGGTAAGGTGTTATGTGTTTCTCAGTGTTTATTGTGGCATTTTTAATGTGATGAGAATGTCCTCGTTGGGCTTGGGTTGTGGCATTTCTGAGTAATTTTTGCCATGTTGCCTGTCAGCCAAAACATTTGCTTGACACACGTGGCTTACTGTCCTTCCCAAAGGCTGCCCACCCTGTTCCCAAGCAGCATTTGAATTTGTTGGTCATGATTTTATGGAAGAGAATTAGGATCAAATGTGACTAGTAAGGTTGGGTGTCAGATAAAAAAATTAGTGTTTGAAGCCATTTTTTGTGTCAGTTTGTGCCTTGTGGGTATAGAAGGGTGGGGTGTGTGAGCGTGTGTCCCCCCAGGAGGCGGTGGACCAAGATGCAGCTCCAGGGGCTCCTTCGTTAGTTGCCTGTGCTCTTTGGGCATCCACTGCTGCCACCAGCAGGAAGATGGCTGATCCAGCTGTTGGAGCTTTCCTTGTTTGCTCTTGTTCATTCTTTTTCTTTTTTAAAGATTTATTTATTTATTGGAAAGTCAGATATACAGAGAGGAGGAGAGACAGAGAGGAAGATCTTCCGTCCGATGACTCACTCCCCAAGTGACCGCAGTGGCTGATGCTATGCCGATCCGAAGCCAGGATCCAGGAACTTCTACCAGGTCTCCCACGCGCGGATGCAGGGTCCCAAAGCTTTGGGCTGTCCTTGACTGCTTTCCCAGGCCACAAGCAGGGAGCTGGATGGGAAGTGGAGCTGCCAGGATTAGAACCAGCGCCCATATGGAATCCTGGCGCATTCAAGGCAAGGACTTTAACTGCTAGGCCACGCCACCGGGCCCCTGTTCATTCTTTTTTTTATCATGTTCTTGTGCTTGTCATCTCGTATCTCAGGTTCTTTGTTGCCTCTGGTCTACTTGTCTCTTTGTCTGCATCTTCTGTCAGCGGTCCATTTCCCAGGCCTGCTGTTTCCTGACCCTTTTGCTGTGTAACCTGAGAGAGAGGTCTTGAACTTAAGTTGTTGATGGGAGAAACCAATTTCCATTTTGGCTTCTGAGGGACAAGAAGGTTCCAGAAAGAGTGTGTGAAAGAAGAGAGCGTGAGGATAGCACAGGTTCCAGGCTGTGCTTGCACGGGTGGGGTTCCCTCCTTTGCAGGAGGTGGGGGGAACATGACACTCCTATGCCACTCTTGCAGCTCTGCTCCTGGTAGGTAACCTTGGACCTGCTTGGTCTCTGAGGTCTACCTTCTGTCCACACTGGGTTGGGATGGGTCCTCTCTGGGCTTGGCATCTGCTCTCCCCTTTCCTAGGTGACTAATAAGGTATCTTCTGCTTCTCTTGGAAGGAATTTCTCTGGGATTTCCTGAATCATCAGGAGGGCCCCCGGATTAGAGACCACTTAAGCCATGGAGAGATCAGCTTGGCTGACTTTCCGAAAGAAGTGACCAGTCAGCTGCTGGCGTTTTCTGTTGTCCTTTTGCTACGGTGTGTGGATGCCAAGCTGCTGGCACTTTGTAAGGTAAGCTGTGAGGACGGGCATGACCAGGGAAGGGTAGTTGATTCTTCAGTTCTGATGAGTTCAATGTGGAGTTGCTACTGGATTCCACGTTCGCTTGCTTCTCTGTGACAGGCCAGTCAGTGCAGCAGCATCCAGGCTAAACTCACACAGAGTCTTATTGCTTGAAAACACATCTGTTTTTAACAGGGTATTGAAAACAAATTACGGAACATGCTAACCAAATACACATTTATTAAGCTCACAAAAGGGGACGTGTGCATCTGTCAGTGCACTAATAACTCTTTTCTTATTTCAAAACAATTTTAATGTTGACATTTTAATATGTTTGTGGTAGTCATTAAAAATTGTTTAGAAGTTCAGAAAAGATAGAAAAATAGATCTAAGAAGTAGAAGCCTCATGCGCCTAAACTCTGAAGCAGCCGTGGCTGCTAACAGCCGCCTTCCCCACACACTGAAGGGGTGTTGCACGGTTCCCCAGCACCCTCGTTTTGGCATCTTTGTCCTGCCTCCATCTGTTTGTTGCTGTTCCATACTGTGTCTTATTCATGGAGTATCCGTCTGCTCAGTGTTTGCCAGCAGGAGTCTGGAACCTGGTGGGAATCCACCCAGGTACTGCAAGAGTCTGCTGGTAGGACACGAACATTCCAACCTTGGGGCCAGATGCCTACTCCAAGACTGGGTTCTGTGCTCTCTCTCTCTCTCTCTTTTTTTTTTCTTTTTTAAAGTTTTGTTTGTTTATGTTTGTGTTTGAAAGGTATATTTACAAAGAGAAAAAGAATCTTCCATCCTCTGGTTCATCCCCCAAGTGGCCTCAGTGGCTGAGGCTGAGCCTTTTGAAGCCAGGAGCTCTGAGCTTCTCCTGGGTCTCCCACGTGGGTGCAGGAGCCCAAAGGCTTGGTCTGTCCTCCACTGCTTTTCCAGACCCTTAGCAAGGGCATTATGGGAAGTGGAGCCATGTGGAATGCTGGCGCATGCAGGCAGAGGATTAGCCTGCCCTTCCCTTTGCTTTTTTCTTCCATCTATACCACAGCAGATGAATCTGGGGGGTCAGCCTGGGCTCCTCACGACGTGAATTCCAGAAGCTGTGCTTTAATGATTTGCAAGTCAGAGACAAGGAGAGAGACATCTGCCACCTGCTGGCAGTTTGTCAAGTGTGAAAGGCCCCACCCAGGGGTCCCACCCCAGCCTTTTGGACGCAGTGGGCGGTGGTCGTGGGGAGTTTTCCTGGCACTCATCTCAGCTGTTTGTTAGTTCCTGCACCATTGTTGAGCTTTCTGTTCCTGTTTTCAGACTTGCCAACTGTCCGTTTGCTGATTTCCTTTTGGTTTCTAGTAGGTTCCAGTTGTATAGGTGTATCAGCTGCAAATGTTACAGTTTTTTTCAGTATTTATATGTTTAACAACAGGACAAAGCTTAATACCATTTTATGTTTTTATCACTGTGCGGTTCTCTTAATTGTGTAGACATAATGTTCAAATTATCATTTTTCTGTTTTTCTGAGGAGAATCTGTTAGCTTGGACTCTTCCTTCTGTGTGTGTCATTTTGTTGTGGACAGAGGGAGGTTGTGGCTTTCAGGTCATTTTGCGGGCTCTCCCTTGTCAGGCCTGTTGCTTTGTTAAAGTGAACAGAACTGCTCAAGAGAAAATAATGAAAACTGTCCTTGAAATGACCTGCCATTCAGTAAAACAGAACCAAAAGCCGCGAGCTGCAGTCTCGGTTGTTGTCTGGTCTCTTCCGACAGGAAAGTGCAGCAGTCCGGTCACTGCTCAGTCTGGCAGAGGGCTACAGCTCTCACTGCCATCCAGCGTCCCAGCTTCGAAAGCAGGTATGCTGAACGCAGGGTGGTTGGGTGAGGCCTTGGAGAGATGCTTGGAAGGGAGTACACTTCCAGCTGTGGCCACGCAGTCTCTTCCGGGTACCTGATGGACGGCAGTGATGCTGGGTGTGTTTGGTAGTGGATGAGTGTTGGCTCAGGTGTGGTGTAGCAACACAGAGGCCGTGCCCTCAGCCTGGCCCTGGCAGTAACCCTTTGTCAATGCTGAGGGGCAGCCTTCTCCTCCATCTGCAGTGTTGACCTAGGAATCCCTGTAGACAATAGACTTGACAGCATTCTGCCAGGACTGGGACCATGGCTAAGGTGCCACTTTATTGTACTTGTGTCTAGTGGGACGGGAGACTTAGTGCAGAAAGGCGTGGTCCCCAGGTAGTCACCTGTGGACACTCGCCAGAAGGACACCCTCTAAGACAGCTGCAAGTCTAAACGTGGGGTCTGGGGGTGAGTCAGGGCAGGTCGGAGAGACAGAGCCGAAGAAGCCAAGCTTGAGCAGTGGTGTCTCAGAATACCAGCGGGAAGTGGGCCATGGCAGGGAAAGCTGAGGTGGGCCTCCCTGAGGGCAGTCACCGGCAGCTTCATCCTCCTGCCCAGTGGTCTGGGGTACAGCTTGGAGCCAGTGCACCTGGCTGTGAATCAGCACACGAACCCTTCACAGGGGTCTGCAAGGCAGAAGGACCGGGCCAGCCTTTAGGGATGCCAGTGGGGAGAGTGTGAAGTCAGAGAGACGTCCTTGATGGTGGGTGTGTCTCTGTGGCCTGAGCCGTCCAGGCTCCCACCTCTCCGGCTTCCCCTTGTCCTGTTGTTCTGTTCCTGCACAGGAAGGCCTGCCCTTTCCCCTCGGTGGAGTGGCTTGCTGCCTTCTGCCGCCAGGTCCATCACACTTCACTCTTTCACGCTACTGCAGTTACTGCTGCTGGCCAGCTGGTCAGCCAGCCTGGGGCGTTGGCAGCCTCCAGTTAGTGCACTTGTGGCGTGAGTGATTTGGGGTGAACTCAGAGTCCATTCTGCAGCTTCACCTGGGGTTGGGCTGTGGTTCTTCATGAGTTTGCTAAGCCGCTGCCCCGTCAGAGCAGGTTGGACGCTGGCCAGGAGTCTCACGAACACTGGATACTGCTTTATTTGGTGGCTGGGACCCAGGTGTTGGTGTGGGGCGCTGAGAACCAGGACGTACCCATCTCCAGCCTGGCCTGGAGCCACTCGACCCCTGCCTGCCTTGATGGGAGATCTGCAGTCCTCGACAGCCATCCCCACTGACCCCGCAGCCCAAGATGACTGCCCACACTGACCCCACAGTCCTCGACGGCCATCCTACTGACCCCACAGCTCCGGATGGCTGCCCACACACTAACCCTGCAGCCCTGGACTGCCGCCCCCACTGACCCTGCAACCCTGGACTGCCACCCCCACGCTGACCCCGCAGCCCTGGACTGCCGCCCCCACACTGACCCCACAGTTGTGGATGGCTCCTGCCCTCACTGACCCCACAGTCCTCAACAGTCATCCCACTGACCCCGCAGCCCCAGATGGCTGCCCCGACGCTGACCTTGGAGCCCTGGACTGCCACCCTCACTGACCCTACAGTCCTCAATGGCCACCCCCGCTGATCCCATGACCTTTGGACTGCCACCCCCACTGACCTTGAGGCCCTCGGTGGCCATCGCCACTGACCCTGCAGCCCTGGATGGCTGCCCCCACTGATCCCACAGTCCTTGACGGCCATCCCCACTCACCCCCAGCCCTCGATAGCCCACCCTGCTGACCGGTGTGGCCCCAGCTGCTTCTCTGGGGTATACCTGAGACTGCCAACAAATTCTCAAGTGTCATGGGTCATCACAGATTCATAAGTGCTGGTTTTCCAGAGACCGATTTAGCATGTGAAGTGGCCTAAATGCATGTGTCCCAGGATGTCATTGCAAAAATGTCACAAGTGAGCCCTGTTACCCCAGGTGCTGAGCTGTGAGGAGAGTGTCCGGATCTGGCCTCTGCTACCTCTGCCTGAGGAAACCAGCTGGAAGGCGACCAGGTGTGTGTCATCAGGGCCTCGTAGCCAGCAGCAGAGCTCCTTGAAGCAGGTGCTGTGCCACTGGGGCTGTCAGTGACATCGTCAGCAGTGTTTCTCTGGCAGGTGTCTGACCTGGCTGCCGCGCTGCTGGTGGGGCCGAGTGCATCCCAGGTGTATCCCAGCTGTACTCTTGGTGCTGCATCTCTCTCATGTAACGCCCCCAAGGAGCAGAGTCTCTGTCAATCAGGTGGGAGACCCAGGTGGAGTTCCTGGCTCCTGGCTTGGGCCTGACTTAGCCCCTTCTCCTGCAGACATCGGGGCTGTAAGTCAGTGTTCAGGAAGCCCCTGCCATCCCTGACTCTCAAAAACTTAAAAACTCAAATGCTTTTCCATTCATGAGTCTGCTAGAAGATGGATGGAAGGCAGCTGATCTGGGCTGGAACGGGCATGAGAGCTGTACACGGTGCTGAGCAGGACCCTTGGGGTGGGGCCCCACTGTGGGCAGCCCCCTCCGAGGGCCCCCACTGAGGACTCTTCTGTGTGGGAGGGAGACGGTGGTCAGAGGCTAGGAGGAAGTGGGGTGGTGGAGTTGAGCTGAGCTGTCGGCCGAGTAGGCACAGTCCTTGGTGATGTTTGGGTCATTTTCGTCAGCACAGTGCCTGTTTTTGTTTTTTGTTTTTTTTTTTTTAATTACAAAGTCAGATATACAGAGAGGAGGAGAGACGGAGGAAATCTTCCGAAAAATGATTCACTCCCCAAGTGAGCACAACGGCCGGTAGTGCGCCCATCCGAAGCCGGGAGCCAGGAACTTCTTCCAGGTCTCCCACATGGGTGCAGGGTCCCAAGGCCTTGGGCCGTCCTCAGCTGCTTTCCCAGGCCACAAGCAGGGAGCTGGATGGGAAGAACCGGGATTAGAACCGGCGCCCATATGGGATCCTGGCACGTTCAAGGCGAGGACTTTAGCTGCTAGGCCACGCTGCCGGGCCCCACAGCGCCTGTTTGCAATGACAGCCTGCATCGGACTCCGTGTGGTCTGTGTGGCAGTGGCTTGTCCCGTTTTATGTTTGGGGAAACTGAGTTTCAGCTTCGTGAGGCATGAAAGTAAAGCCTGTTTGTGTTGTGGCTGAAGTGGGCATCTTAACGATGATTGCATGTTCTTGAAGGTGTCCTGTTTTCCAGACAAGAAGACGATTCCGAAGCAGACGCCTGCAGCTCTTTAACTGCCAAGATTCTGGAAGAGCTGCGCCAGCATGTGCCTGAGCAATGTGTGTGTGCTGACTCGCAGCATCCTGCCACAGAGCAGTAAGTGCTGGTGCGAGAGAAGACACCGTGGGGCATGTGGCATAGCTGTCTGTTCAGCTTTCTCGTGAGGAATTACTCAGTGGGCTTCGACAGTTGAGTGTGGGTGTCTGATGAGAGGTATAGGCGTACATTGGCTTCCCCACAAGGCAGTGTTCACGTAACACCTGCCGTGGGAGGCTCACTCAAGGGTGCCATCCACACAGAGTGGCTCACCAGAGGCGGCCGTCCACACAGGGGTGGCTCACGAGGGGTGGGGTATCCACACAGGGTGTGGCTCACCTGAGAGGGCCGTCCACAAGGGACAGCTGGCTGGCCATAGGGGCTGTCCACAAGGGGCAGCTGGCTGGCCAGAGGGGCCGTCCACAAGGGGCAGCTGGCTCACCTGAGGGGGCCATCCACAAAGGGCAGCTGGCTGACCAGAGGGGCTGTCCACACAGGGATGTCTCACCAGGGGTCATTCACAGGGCGGGCTGTCCGTGCAGGGGGTTGAGGGGTGTTGAGCCACATGCCCTGAGAGCTGTTCTTGATTTGTAGGTGGCGGCAGCTGCTTGGGGCGCTGTGTTCTACACACATCTCCACCCTGTTCTGCCCCAGGGCTGTGCTTGAGGTGCTCACGGTGCTGCGCAGCATCTGCTCGCAATGCCAGCGTGTGTCTGAGCAGGTGGCCGCCTCCGCAGCGCTCAGGCACAGGCAGTGGCTGGAGAGGAGGCTGCGCTCACGCCAGCGGCACAACTACTTGTGCATGGCAAGCAGGTACATGTCCTCCGGGCTGACCTTGGGTGTCACTCTGCACTCCCTTCCAGAGACAGCCATAGCCGTGGAGTGTAGGCTGTGGGCTGCAGCACTCAGGAGGGTCAGCTTGACTTGTGTTCATGCTGAGTCTTTACTCTCAGGGAATGCTACAGAACGGCTGTGTTCTAAGAGCGCTTGGTACACGCTCCGGATCAGTGTCTGTCCATCAGTCCACATTTTATGGAGTTATCTATTTGCACAGCAAAGTGAGATTTTCCCGTCTGCTGGTTCCCTTCCAGTGGCTGGGCCAGGCTGAAGCCAGAAACTAGGAATACCATTTGGGTCTCCCGTATGGTGGCGGGAGCCCAGGAGCTTGGGCCATCATCATCTGCCTTCCCAGGCACACGAGCAGGAAGCTGGACCTGAAGTCGAGCAGCCGGAGCTTGAAGCTGCCCTCCAGATATGGCCTGCTAGGGCTGCAGGCTGCTGCGGCTGGGCCATAGCACTGTCCCGATGGCTCTGTTCTCAAGACTTCAGTGGGCCTGGCTGCCTTCCTGAAAGATAATGTCCACTTCGTTCTTACCTGCGGCCTATGAGATAATCTTCCTTGTGAAAGTGGAAGATATGTGTTTGCAAATCATTACTTCCCGAAACCGTTTTAAAATGCTGGTGGTTTCATGGGCAAGATGAGGCCGAGCTTTGATCCAGGTCTCAGTGAGTCTGGAGACACCCAGCACGTGTTCATACTCAGGCTGCTGTCTTTGTTGTTGAGTATCAGTTGTATCAGAGAAGTCGAGCTTTCCCTGCATCCTCTGAGAGGACGCTGTCCAGCAGGAGGCCGGGCTGTTGCCATCGGGCGTGCACGATGAGAAGTGGAGGGTGAGGCCGGGGCCGGCTACCCTGGCCTCCACAGGTCCCATGGCTGGAAGGCTGGAGTCGGGCTGCCGATGGGGTTGGACCTGAGGGAGAAAGGTGCTGGTTAGGCTGCACATCGGTGTCCCCATGATGCGGAGGATGCGTGCTTGCTCACGTCTGTGTTCATGTGTTCCTAGCATGAGGCTCCTGTCCCCCGTGCTTTACCTGCTTCTACTGCTCGTTGCGCTGGAGCTGCTCAGCATTCACAGCGTCCTTGGAAAGAAGGCCCCTGAGTACCAGCACTACCTCAGGTAAGTGCATCGCGGGGGAGCACGGGTGAATGAATAGGCCCCTGAGTACCAGCACTACCTCGGGTAAGTGCATCGCGGGGGAGCACGGGTGAATGAATAGGCCCCTGAGTACCAGCACTACCTCGGGTAAGTGCATCGCGGGGGGACACGGGTGAATGAATACTGGGTTACTTTCCAGTACTTTCTCAGTTACTTTCCTAGGTAACTGTTATTAACCTCATAGATGCTTTTTCTTTTCCTTTTTAAGGATTTTATTTGAAAGGTAGTTATAGTGCAACAACAGCTGAAGCTTGGCCAAAGCCAGGGCCAAGAGCTTCTTTTGGGTCTCCTACATGGGTGACAGGGACCTAAACACTGGGGTTGTCTTCTGCTGTCTTTCCCAAGCCATTAGCAGGAAGCTGGATCGAAAGTGGAGCAGCCGGGACTCGGATGAATATGACTTGGGTGCTGTCGGCTGCTGCTTTAACCTCTGCCACAGCACCAGCCCTGACTCTCATAGCTTCCGACTATTGTTTTTTTTTAAGCTGTATTTATTTGTATTGCAAAGTCAGATATACAGAGAGGAGGAGAGACAGGAAGATCTTCTGTCCGATGATTCACTCCCCAGGTGAGCGCAACGGCCGATACTATGCCGATCCGAAGCCAGGATCCAGGAACCTCCTGTGGGTATCCCACACAGGTGCAGGGTCCCAAAGCCTTGGGCCGTCCTCGACTGCTTTCCCAGGCTGCAAGCAGGGAGCTGGATGGGAAGCAGGGCTGCCAGGATTAGAACCGGAGCCCACTATGCTATTGCACCAAGCTCAAATAAATAAATCTTTTAAGAAGAAATGGTGGCTGGATTTGGAAGGTAGGTGTGAAAGTGCCCTTGAGAGCGCCTGCAGTGCCCCCTGCCCTCACCTGAGCACCCTGTGCCTCCCCCGTCAGCGTTCTGCCTCCTCACTCTGTTTCTCTTAGTTTCCCTTGGCTCTTGCTGAATGCCTGGGAAATTTCTTGCGCTGCTGGAAGCTGGCATCTAGGAGGTTGGTGCCTATATGTACTTGGCCCATGCTGAGGCCCTGACGCTGCCTTCCCAGTAGCAAGGGTGTGGGCACCTCCCTCAGAGGCCACCTGGCCCAGCCCTGTGAGAAAGTGTTACAGGGTGCGAGTGAGATCACACCAGACATGTCTAAGGTTTATTAAGGAGTCTTTATTAACTAAGCTTAGTGATAATACAGCACACTAGACATAGCAGGTCACAAGTCCATACGGCAATCCAACCAATTATAATCCAACCAAACATAATCCTAAAAGGGAACAAATGGCCATTACCCTGAAGTCCATCCGTTAAGCTGAAGACCTATGTCCCAGCTTCCCCAACAACATAAGTTATCGAAAGAGACATGCAACGAATAACCTGGGCACACTTACAAAGCTGCAGACATTCACCTTTCCCTGGCTTCTCTGCCCACATTCCATCACTGCCAGGCCTCACTTCTCCTGGAACTCCTGACAGTACACAAACCAGAAACAACACTACTATATCCATTGTTCCATCAAAGCAGTACACAGGGACCATGATTGCTCTGACCAGCAGAGCCAGTAACGTGGACAGGGAGAGGGTCTGGGGGTGAAGCACCGACAGGAGACCAGTGATGGTGGAAGTCTGCAAAGTCTCGCTTTGTTGTTCCTTCACTTCTCCTTATATACTCTTCCCCCCACGTCTTAATTTAGCCAGGATATTGGGTACAGATGAGTCCAGTTAATCTAAGTGTTTTTAGCCAAAGCCCAGTTCCTGTTCCTGCCCAGCTCAATGAACGCTAATCAACTCCTTAGCCCACTGTCAATGGGTGCTGGCTATCACTGGCTGCTCTCCATAACACAAGGACTGGTGCCCCAGGGCCCTGAGCATCCCCACAGCTTTGCAGTGAAGTCTGGATTTCTTTCTCCTTCTCCTTCTCTTCCCCCTCCTTGTCCTCTCCTCTTTGTTCTCCGCCTCATCCTGTTCCTCCTCGCCTTCTCCTCCTCCTCATCCTTCTCCAACTCCTCCTCCTCGTTTTTTTTTGTAAGTTTTATTCATTTTTTAATTTAAAAGGCCTATTTCCAGAATGGGACAGACAGAGAAAGATCATCTGCTGGTTCACTCCCCAAGAGGCTGCAAAGGCCAGGAGCCAGAGCTTCTTCCAGATCTCCCACATGGGTTCAGGGTTCCAAGGCTTTGAGACATCCTTTGCTGCTCTTCCAGGACACATGCAGGGACTTGGATGGGAACTGGAGCAGCCAGGACACACACCGGGACCCACTTGGGGTCCTGGTGCATACAGCAGGGAGAATTAACCAGTTGACCCGTTGTGCTGGACCTGAGTTTTCTGAGTTCCTAGGCAGACAAATGTAATTAGACTAAAACAGTTTGTTTCCTTTTCTTTTTGATTTGAATCCCCAGCCAACCATTCAATAGGGTGGAGTTTAAGGATAATTCCAAGAATGAAAAATTCAAATCCTCATTGCATTCTACAGTTGAATGGATAAAGAAGTTACATTTGCTCTTTTTCTAACAGGTTCTTAAAATCAATCTTGCAGTACACTGAGAACCTGGCGGTTTACACCAGCCCAGAGAAGAACAAATGGCATGACGCCATCAGTCTGACACAAACAGTTTTGTTGAAGATCTGGACTTTTTATGAGAAGAAACAAATGCTAATGCACTTAGCTAAGAAATGCACAAGTGAAGTCACCCTGTGAAAATCCTGTGTTGGTTGGGCTGTTGTTGTTCTACCAGAAGATCCCATTCAATTGGTCTGAGCCATGTGGAAAGCGGGGAGCAGGACAAGAGTGGGCAGGGTGTGTGCTCAGGGGCCAGGCTGTCTTTCCCACCACTGTCTACGCTGTGCTTCCTGGGCTGGGGTGAGCTCAGGCTGTTTGTGTGTGCACCATGTGACTGCAGCAGGTCGGGTATCACTCAGGCTGGCTGCACCCAAGTGTTGGCACTCTCACCAAGACCCTACCTACAGGGACCAGGCCTCCCTGTGGGGTGAGGGTGGGCTCAGCCAGTCCTTCCTTCAAACTCAAGGAGCAGAATAACGCCCTGTCCTTCTAGACCTGGCAAATGCAGTAAGTGGTACCATCCCAACTGGGCCATTGTTAGTTGGGGATTAGGGGTGGACACAGTGCAGCCCCAGTAGGGCTGTGGATGAAGGTGAGGCTGCAGGCTGGCCTGCATGCTGCTAGGTACCAGCCGGCCCTGGTCGTGCATCTGGCTTGGTCTGGGCTCTGAGCTGGGAGGACCGTGCCTATGGGCTTCTGCGTGCTGTCCGAGGTTTGCTGCTACCTTATGCCAGGGCAGTGACCCCAGCCATGGGCTGTGTTCCTGCAGAGGGGTGGTGACCCCCGGCCATGGGCTGTGTTCCTGCAGAGGGGCGGTGACCCCCGGCCATGGGCTGTGTTCCTGCAGAGGGGCGGTGACCCCCGGCCATGGACTGTGCTTCTGCAGAGGGGCGGTGACCCCCGGCCATGGGCTATGCTTCTGCAGAGGGGTGGTGACCACAGGCCACACTGCCCAGCTGTCAGCCCCTCTTGCCCTTGGAGGAGCCGCAGCTCTGAGGTGGGTGCTGTGTTCCGGCAGAGACCCGCTGGCTCCCAGGTGAGTGGACTGCTTCCGAGGGATGCTGAGGTTGCAGAGGAATTGAGGGGTGGAGGAGTGGAGCCCACGAAGTGCGGCTGTGTCTTCTCCACTTCACCCACAGTTTCCTATGGGCTCTGTCGCGGCTCACCTCAGAGGAATCACTGTTCTCAGCACTCTTTGCTGCTCTTGGCTGAACCGCAGTGTCCGTGTGCTGGGCAGGGACTCAAAGGACTGATGGGCAGCAAGCCCCCGTCCTACCGCTCCCTTTGTTCTCTTCCTACTGGCTGACCTCAGCAGACTTTAGTCACTGGGGAAAAGGGGAAAGGTGGAGATTAGATTTTCCATTGAAAGCAGTGGTATCAGTCGTTGTGGGAGTGGGCGTGTAGTCAGTTTCTTGACACCTGCACCCCACCAAGGACCACAAGGGCAGGATTCCAGCTGGCACAGCCTTGGGGGACAGCACGCAGGGCCCATGGAGCTGGGTTCCTGCTGCCACGTGGGGACCTGCACTGAGTTTCCACTTCTGCCTCCAGCCCTGGGGTGCACTGCTGAATGGGTGTGCCTTCTTTCCCTCCCCTTTTCAAAAATCCTTCAGCAGCAACCAGCTGTTACCAAGTTAAGGTGGCCTCCCCATGCTTGGGTACAGAAAGAAATGTTCCAGATTGTTCTAGGACACAGGAAAAAGCATTCAGAGCCCCGCGTGTTGAGGTGTGGCCTGGTATTGACATGGGAGCTGTGACCCATCCTGTCCTGGTCTCATGCTGAACCAACAAGTTGGCACACTCCTGGCTGTCTGTGCAGATGGAACAGCTTGTCCTGGCCACCTGCTCAGACATGACAGTGTGCTCTGGGTCCATGCAGATGGTCAGTGCAGAGAGGACAGCATGCTCTGGGTCCATGCAGATGGTCAGTGCGCTCCCAGCCAACTGCACAGAGCACAGCACATGGCCTTTGAGGGGCATCGTCCTTGTCCTTCCCAGCCCACTATGTGCTTCTTGACAAATATGTGGTGGCAGACACATTATAGATTAACCCTGTTGTGGGTTTTTTTTTTTTTTTAAAGATTTCTTCTTCTTTTTTTAATTGAAAGGTCAAATTTACAGAGCAAAGGATAGAGAGGAAATCTTCCCTCCGCTGGTTCATTCCCCAGGTGGCCGCCCCAGCTGGAGCTGAGCTGAACCAAAGCCTTGAGCCAGGAACTTCTTCCTGGTCTCTTCATGGGTACAGGATCCCAAGGCTTTGGGCCATCCCTAACTGCTTTCCCAAGCCACGGGCAAGGAGCTAGAAGGGAAGTGGAGCAGCTGGGACACGAACTTGCGCCCATATGGGATCTTGGCCCTTCCAGGCAAGGACTTTAGCCATTAGGCTACTATGCTGGGTCCCCTATCATGGTGTCAATCTGCAGACATCCATTCTCCTGTAGATGCAGCTAACCTCAGCTCTGCACACCTTGTGACCTGCTAACTGATGGGCACATGGGCCGCGGAGACCCTTTGAGGTCGGGGCCTGCCATTCTGCGCTGTGAACCCATCCTCCCTTAGAGTGTCCTGAACACCCTTTCTGTTGTTGTAAATGTGCTTTCATCCTGAAAATAAAAGAAAAAACCCTGCAGAGAACTGCCACCTGACCCTATGACCCGATGCCCCTGCTGGCGTTTCTTACATACATTCACCTTTGTATGCACACCATTCCCATGGCCAAACCAGCTAGGGGAGTGGCTGCCTGCACCCCACTGCTGTTACGACTGTCCCACAGGGCAGGAGAATTCCTACTGCAACACTCCAGGGAAGCTGGGTATGATAGCACAGTGACAAAGCATGATTGTCTATTCCTGGTGATGGTGACCCAGTACTGCTGTGTATCGCCCATGATGGAGGCTGACCCCGTCCTCTCACACATGACAGCGACACAGTCATGTAGTCCGTGGTACAGTGGCAGAGCACCATTATATATCACATACAGGGACGATGTCAGACATGATCCTCCCAACATGTAACAGTGTTGGTGACAGGACACCGTCCAACGCATGAGAATGTGACAGGCCCTCCCTGGCCTGCAGGCTGAGCCGGCTGCACACTGTTGCTCAGAGGTGGCTTGGGCAGGGTGTGGGCACTTCTAGAAGGACAATAGAAGCACAAAGAACAGTGAGACAAAGACATGCTGTAGGGTCTGCTTTGCTCAAATGGCTCAGAAATTGCAGAAAGCTGTTATCCAGGGACTGTGTTCGGAATAGCCCCATGGTGCTGCCTCATCCGTGGCCCTTTCAGCCCCCCCTCCCACTCCACCTTGAGGGGACAGAGCAGGGCCATCCCATCAGGTTCTCTGTACACCTGCTCAGGGAGGCCCATCCCCAGGTGGGTGGGTAGTTTACAGGGGTGCCAGGAAGGGTCCAGCTGGAGATTTGAAACTGACATTCACAGACACAAAAGCCAGGATGGCTAAATGAGCTCACCCCCACGGCAACAAGGCATTGCGTTGGTATGGCTACCTCCCCCAGGCAAGGCCGTCCACCCTGCACTGCCTGGACCCCTTGCCAAGTGTGTCCTTTAGCAACCTCCTGGTTGAGTCTCTGCCCTTTGCTACAAAAGCTCCTGACCAAGTTGTAAGCCAGGACAAAACAGGAGGCAGAAGCTCAGAGGCATGGGAGAAAGACCCCTGTGTCTGTGGGCTCCTCTGCAGGGGCAGGCGGCACACCAACTCAGCCACTCTGCTTCTGGCCGGCAGCGAAGTGGGAGCCGAGGCCCGCTCCTGCTGCAGACACCAGCGCCTCTGCATGGCCCTATCCCGCCGCAGGCGCAGGATCCCTGGGCATCCCTGCCGCCCACCCACTCACTCTGTCAGCCTCTGTGCAGCCCTGGGCAAAGATCTGGCAGGCCCTGTCCCTTGAGGGTTGGCGGAGACGGGCCTTTGAGCTGTGGCTCTGAACCGCTGGTGGCCAGGGCACGACTTCTGTGGGCAGGAGACTCATGTCTGGGCAGGAATGGCTGACCGCGTGCCAGGCCTGCGGGGGGAGGGGAAGCAGTGGGATGGGATGTGCGGCAGTTCTTCCAGTAAGACGCGGGGTGGCACTGTTTGCTAACACAAGGCTGCAAATGAGCGGGAGCCCAGGACTCCCTTCAGCTAAGTGCCAGATGAAAGCGTAGGGAAAATCCTAGGGCTCCTCCATTCACTCCATTCAGGTAACGTGGTCTTTGTCCTTTGTGAGCAGGTGGAGTTTGGGCGTCACCAGATGGCGAAGGTGAGCAAGGACCTGGAACCCCAGCCCTATAATGAGCTTTCCATTCCCGGTTTGTGGCTGATGGACGACAGGAGCAAATGCTCCCTAAATCACCCCTGCATCCCACGGGGACCGGGCCTACCCTCCTGTGCTGACAGCGGCATGGCCTTTGGCGGTCCCCGGAGAGGGAGGGAGGCGTGCGGATCGCCATTAATCAGATGTGCGGCGGTGGGGGTGGCAGCTCTTTGTCTGAAGGAGGAGGCTGAGCCCCGCTGCGCCATGGGCAGGGTGCAAATTCGCTGTGGAAGGTGCCTCCTAACGACTTGTATTTATGAGGCACAGTCTGGATTGGCACCTCAGCGTCCCTGTAAATCAGTCCACGGGTGGCAGAGACTGCGGAGGGTACTGTCGCATGCATGCCTGGGCCCGACTCTTGGGAGACCACTAACGCTTGGACAAGAGGAGTAGCTGTGGTGTGATTTGTAGTGTAGCCAGAGGGAACACTTCCCATAAAGTGTCTGTGTGTCCCGGGAGGAGGGCGGGTCTGGGAGACTGGGAGACCTGATACAAAAGGATGCACGTGAATTAAGTCCAGACTATTAAGACCTCTGATCAAATCTGGGTTTTTCTTGCAACAGACGCAAGCCAAGACCCTGGTGGGTGCCTGGAGCGCTTCTTGGCACGTCGTGGCAATACCCGCACCACTACCGGCTGTCTGAGGCCTGCAGCCACAGACCCATCCTGAGCACCATGCCCCACCCTCCCGCAGGCCCGGCTGCTCCAGAGCACTTTGCCTCCATTAATCGCAGTCCTCCATAATGGTCCGAGCAGACGCTGCCATTATCTCCACCCAGACGGAGGAGACAAGCTCCAGCGTTGCAGGGGCTCGCCCCTCCTGGCTTCGCGTCTCCTTCATGACAGGACCCAGCTCTTCCTCCCTGTGGGGACATAAATCTCCCAGTGATCCACTGGTTGACAGGCGGCAGGCTGCTCATCCTGGGCCACGTGGGAAGGAGGCTGTTTGGGTCCCATTGTACACATGTGAAAGCTGGAGCTCCACAGCCTGGCTGGCATGCCTCCCCCAAGGCTGGGCCCAGGCTGCTGGGTGTTTGTGCAATGATGTCCATGAGAGGCCCAGGTGGCACTCAGGGCACCATGAGCACAGATACCTGCTGCTCTCCAGTCCACTTTGGCCCTAAGGGTCCTGTGGAAATGGCTTCCAATTCCAGCCTCCTATGCCATGGCCAGTGGAAGAAGCTCACCAGCTGCAGGCTGTGGCTGTGTCCACTCTGAAAGCCCCTGCTCTGACTCTCACTGCCCTGGCACTCTGCCTGTTCAGGCTCTTTGGTCAGGTTGCCTGATGCGGTCTCCACGTCATGCCTGGGCGTGACTGGCTCTTGGCATGGGCCTGGCATCTGCATTTCCAGGCCTTGTTGCTTTTTTTTCTCTCAAGGTGGCCTCAACTCCTGGCTTGCCTGACAGCATCACCATAAGCAGCATGAGCAGTTCTCGCCTAAGGACTTCCAGAGCACTGCTGTGCTCGTCCTGGGAGGAAGGTGGGAAGTGGTGAGAGGAGGCCCCTGACCTTGGGGCTCAGAGTGCATCAGAGAGGGGAGGTGGAACCCGCAGGACAGCCACTGATGCCTGGCAGTCCCCAAGGAGGGTCTGTGGGGCAGGAATGAGAGTGAGCAGGTGGTAATACCAGGCCTGGACCAGGGGGCACAGCTCTGCCAGGAAGTCATTGAGTTATCATGCCCCATCCCTGTGGCATCTCCCATTGCTAGGCATGGGTCATTGGATGAGGGTGGTGGTGCTGCGACTCAAGGCAAGACCAAGATGGCCCACACCAAACCAGAGCATGTGGGAGACACTGTTGGGCACCCTGCATGCCAGGACAAAGGGGTGAGCAGAAAGAACAGATCTGGGCTGTAATGAGAGCAAGCTTCAGGCTGAGCCAAGACAGAGGGTCCCCTGGGGCTTGATGGAGGAGCGTGGATGTGCCACGG